TTTCAGAAAGATATTGTTACCAAATCTTATGTAATTTCCTATTGGAGCAACTTTGTGAATATTGTGGACTGGAGGAAAGTTTGGTTATTGCCACATAAATACCTTATTGTAAATAAAATCAGAGAAGTCTCTTTTAAATTAATTCATAGATTCTATCCAGTGAAAAGTTACCTAAAAAAGTTTAAATCTGACATTGACATAAAATGTGATTTTTGTAATGAACATGATGAAACTACTGTACACTTATTTTGGGAGTGTAATTACACTAAACTGTTTTGGAAGAGCTTTTGTAGGTATGTTATAGATTTTGTATACCCTCATTTTTCTTTATATTGGAAGTATGTTTTATTTGGTTTTATTAATATGAAGAAAAATTTTGAGAAAGAATCTTACTTTATAAATCTATTACTCCTTCTAGCAAAATTTCATATTCATAAGTGTAAATTCTCCAAGCATAAGCCATTATTCAAAGTCTTTCTTATCGAATTTCACCAATACCTCCAAACGCTTTCTACTTCTGAGAAGTCCAAAGCTAGGAAAACATTGTCTTGTTGTGCTTTTTTCAAAATCCCCTTCTAAAATTGTGTAACATTTTATTGTTTTAAAGTGCCATTGTTTGTATCTCCTTTATATATGTGATTATCCTCTTTTGCATTATTTGTACTATTGTCAATTTTTTTTTTTTTTTTCCCCTCTGGTGTTTGTTCTGTTCTTTGTACTTCATGTGATTGTTAATAAAAAAAAAAAAAAATACTTCAAATTAAAGGGCATTTGTAATCACAACTTCAGTTAAATAATAGTATGCATTGTCATAATCATCTTGGAAAAGTTTCTTACGTTTACATTTTGAAAACGAACCCTGCTGCAGCCTAGGCGATGTGCTAACGCGGATGTTTTACATGTTTTAAATATATAAAATGCATAAATGGTCTTCATCATTTTATTTGTTATTAAATAAACTTACATTTCGCCGATTCGCCCTCTCATTTAAGTCCTGGGTTCACCCGTACTACTGCGTGCTCGTATATCAGCACAGGATCAGCCGGCCGAAAGAAAGTTCTGTTCAGAGACGGTGCTATCACGCATGCGCAGTATCTCCAGCTCATCGGTTCTCCGCATCGAACGTGTCCGAAAGAAACAGTTCTTGGTTCTGTACTAGTGATTCAAGAACTGCAACAACCAGTTCTCGACTCGAGAACCATAGCATAGGCCTGTGTGTGCTGACCTGAAACCTGAATACACAGTCGACAAAACTAAATCGATGCATGTCTGTCTCCAATATAGCCTTCTGTAGCCTATACAGTGTATATCATGTTTGTAATGTGTTAACATAACGAATTAAACATATATGTTTAATTCGTTATGTTAACACATTATAAACCACATTATAAACATTTACTAAGCAGTGCACCAAACCTTGGCAAGAGTTTACATCAATGATTTATATTGTTACTTACAAATTAAATGAGCTAGCTGTTCCTGAAAATATTATTTAATAATAAATGTTTAGTAGTTTGACAGTTTTAGAATCCAATCATTATTTCCAATCGTTAAAATAATACAGTGATACAGTAATGGGATAAACATGTTTCAAAAATGTTTTATTTTGTTACACTTACTGATGTTCAACTAAAGACATGGAAACGTACATTTCGTCCCTCAGAAAAAAATGCACGCATGCTCAGCTCATCAACTCATCAGTTCTCAGTATGTCGAACGTGTCCGAAAGAAACAGTTCTCGGTTCTGTACTGGTTATCCGACCGCTGTACCTGTATGTTCGGTAGTACACGCATGCGCAGTATCAGCTGCTCGTGCTCATCACTTCTCTCGGCACCAATATGTCTCCGTTCAGTGAAGTTTTTGAGTTACTGAATAAAATGTACTAATGGATATTGGTTTATTTCGATTCGGAGGGACTGGCAGGCATGTCTGAAAGTGAGTAACTTTAGTAACTTGTGGTTTAGCGCTGACGCAAGACGCGAACTGTTTCGAACGATTCAGTCCGATTTAGTGTACTGGTTCGACCGGTTCACTAAAAAGAACCGGTTCAAAAGAACGATTCGTTCACGAACCGGCCATCACTAGCATGCGCGAGATTTGCGATCTGAAGTAGTGTAAGCTGGTGTGAGCAGATCGCAAATCTCGCGCATGCGTCGTGGAAATCTAAGGAAGTCTCGTTCTGGCCTACAAGAAAGAAAAGAAATAGTCGAATAAACTCGTTATTTTTGTTTGTTTTTTCGCACAAAAAGTATTCGCGTCGCTTGATAAACATATAGTTGAGCCACGGTAGTCACTTGGGATATTTAAACATTTTCTTCATTGACTTTCTGGGCCGTCAAGAGGCAGTCCCTTAGGAGCCAATGTGGTAGTTATACAGCTCTCAAATTTAATCAAAAATATCTTCATTTGTGTTCCGAAGATGAACGAAGGTCTTACGGGGTTGGTACAGCATGGGGGTGAGTAATTAATTACTTAATTTTCACTTTTGGGTGAACTAACCCTTTAAGAGAGCAATATAACAAATCTGACCTTGATATGAAAACACATATAAAGAAATGATGAGAGGCAGATGGAAAGAAAGAGAGAGTGAGAGAGTGAAAGGAGGGAGATTTGACATGAAAACCCTGGAGAATCTCTCTTTATACAGGACTTCTGCTGAAGACAGCTGTTCCGGCTTTATAACAGGTTAAGCTCCACTGACAGCATTTGTCCATTACCACAGAAGCTGAATTATAGTGATAACTGTGATTATTTGGCTCTATTTCAACAGTAAACTTTTAAGCCATAGAATGGCTTTTTTTTTTAAACAGTGCTCAAACTCACAGTAAATTGAGGTCAGAGTGTCAGAAACAAACAATATCCGGAGGTAAAAAAGTAATCTAAATGTCTTTAAACCTGTTTTTCCTGACACAACCTCATTAAAAATGATGGAGAAAATTATCAGCCGACACGAAAAAATCGAATTCCATCCGAATGCTTGTGATTACAGTATTGTCACAAAGCTTTATTGAAACTAAAATGAATTTTCTCAATTTAAGCCTTAAAGGAGTAGTTCACTTTTAAACAAACTTTTGCTGATAATTTACTCACCCCCATGCCATCCAAGATGTCCATGTCTTTCTTTCTTCAGTCGAAAAGAAATTAAAGTTTTTGATGAAAACATTCCAGGATTTTCTCCATATAATGGACTTCAATGGGAACCAAACGGTTCAAGGTCCAAATGAGAGTTTCGGTGCAAACTGCAAACTGTTCAAAGGACTTTAAACGATTCCAGACGATCAATAAGGGTCTTATCTAGCGAAACGATTGCTCATTAAAAAAAAAATAATAACAAAATTTAAGTTTTATAAGCTCAAATGCTTGCCTTGATCTGTTCTGTGATGCGCGTTCGTGACTCTGTCTCATCAAAATGAACAAATCTTTTTTCGAGTCATTTCGTTCAATCAACGAATGAAATGAACGAAATGACTCGAAAAAAGATTTGTTCATTTTGATGAATGAGTTCGAACAGGAGAGTCGAGTAAGACGAGCATTTGTGCTTATAAAACTTAAACTTTGTTATTTATTTTTTAAATCGTTTCGCTTGATAAGACCCTTATTCATCGTCTGGAATCGTTTAAAGCCCTTTGAACAGTTTGCACTTTGCACTGAAACTGTCTTTTGGACCTTGAACCGTTTGGTTCCCATTGAAGTCCATTATATGGAGAAAATCCTGGAATGTTTTCATCAAAAACCTTAATTTCTTTTCGACTGAAGAAAGAAAGACATGGACATCTTGGATGACATGGGGGTGAGTAAATTATCAGTAAAAGTTTTTTTTTAAAAGTGAACTAATCCTTTAATGTAAAACAGGCCTTCAACCATGACTATAATCACAGTGTTTAACATATTCGCTATTGCTTTTATAAAATTGTAAATTAAGTTTAAAAGAAAATTAATAATAATGCAAATAATCTATTATGAATCTATTCTAGTTCAGCTAAAACACAACCTTTCAGGGTCAAATTTCACCAAGAAGTCGGTATCAGCTGTTAAAACAACCTCGCATGTATCATAAAACTCAAGTGTCGTATTTGTTCAGTGTAGCATCCATTACTTCACTGTCACTGACCTGCGTAATGGAAAACCGTCGTTCGGTTTAGATGATTCTGGCATCACTGACCGGCAATACAAAACACTTGAGAGCGCCCTTCCCATAACTCCCCCAACAATTTTCAATCCTCGTTGTATTGATTCACATTTGGGCACTTGAGGTACAAATGGGAGGAAATAAAAACACAGTCCTGCAGCAAACTATCAACCAAGGGTGCTCATGGGAAATCTGAAGTGGAGGCTGTGTATTGTATTCAGATGTACTCCAAAATTGAGGTAGAAAACTCACTCAATACATGTTGGCACAAGCAATAAAGTGTCTGAACCCTTTTAGTGCAAAAGATTAGAATCAGACACTTTAAATGGGTCACCATAAAATGCCACTCGAAGGAAGTAAAAGCCATACCCTATCTACTTCACTTTAGATTCTGTTGTTGGCCTATAAATACTTATTTCACAGGCAAAGAGACTAGCCATTCAGAGCGAAGGTAATTTGCATATAGAGGTTTTACCACTACACCAGCAAAAAATGGTGTGTTTAATTCTAACAGCCAGAAATAGGGTGTGAAAATGGTCATGAAAAGCTAAATTATGATTGTTTTTGGCCACAAAAAACTATATACGTGGTAAGTATATGGTATGACTTCTTTATGTGAACACATTTGAGAAAAACATGAAACATGACCAATGTGAATGTCGCTTTCCTTTCACTCGTGTGTGTTCAGGTTAGCTTTGCGCAGCTTTAGGTCTGGATTATTTCCGAGGGGTCAGCTGTGTGTCAGTTCACAGCTAATCTCTGCAATGTGCCATGTCTATAAAAAAAGGTTATCATCATGTTAATGCACTTTACATGTGTGTACTCGCCTCAAATCCAAAGTCCAGTGAATAAAGAGGCCGAAAGAAACTCTGATTTTCCCATTTGTTTAATGTTTTGTTTCGAAAACACTGTAAAAACGCAATCCTTCATTAGAATTAGATTCTGAAATTATATTATTATTGTCTTAATTAAATTAATAATTCAGCTAAAATAACGGTTCTGTCATCATTTACTCACCCTAGTGTTGTTTCAAACCCGTTTGACTGACTTTCTTCGATAAGACGCAAAATAATACGCTTTGAAGAATGTTCGAGGACGAGGGCTGTCTACCAAAAAAGGTGCAATAAAAATATCATAAAAGTTTTCATTATGACTTTGTTCTGCTCACATGAGTATGTACAAATGAGATTTAGGAGTTAAACAGAGTTGAGCTTCAGTGTATGAAAATATTTTTTGTGTTTAGAAAACAAAGTCATCCAGGTTTGGAACAACATGAGGGTGAGTAAATCATGTTTGGTGAACTATCCCTATTCTCACAAACAAAATCCACAGTGAGAGGGCGAAGCCGTTCACATGGTACATGAAGCACCGACGCCATCCGCGTATGATTAATGTTTCACAGTGTGTAAGAGAGCTTCTAAACTGAAGCCCGAACGGAAGCGATCGCCCATCTAAACGTCACACGGTCCTGCGGTGAGGAGCGCTAGGCCTTCCCTTTCTCCAGCTCCACACCTCCACACATGTGTGTGTCCTCCTGAAGGCCCACGACTGTGCTCGGCTGACAGCAGATCAGCTGATGCTCTTTCCAGTCCTGCAGAGAGACGGATCTGAAGATAAAGAGGCTCTAGCTGGTGTGGTAAACCACGAGCGCTCGTGTTGGACTCACCTTCCTCTGGCAGAAGCCGGAGCAGTAATGGACTTTATGGCAGCCGGCGCACTCACTGGACGCCTCTCGACCACAGTTCACACACGTGTGCTGAAACACAGAAGAAAACACACTAGTGTTACTAAAGTAGGTCTGTCTGTCTGTCTATCTATCTATCTATCTATCTATCTATCTATCTATCTATCTATCTATCTATCTATCTATCTGTCTGTCTGTCTGTCTGTCTGTCTATCTATCTATCTGTCTGTCTATATCTATCTATCTATCTATCTATCTATCTATCTATCTATCTATCTATCTATCTATCTATCTATCTATCTATCTATCTGTCTGTCTGTCTGTCTGTCTGTCTGTCTGTCTGTCTGTCTATCTATCTGTCTGTCTATATCTATCTATCTATCTATCTATCTATCTATCTATCTATCTATCTATCTGTCAGTCTATATCTGTCTGTCTGTCTATCTATCTGTCTGTCTGTCTATCTATCTGTCTGTCTGTCTGTCTGTCTGTCTGTCTATCTATCTGTCAGTCTATATCTGTCTGTCTGTCTGTCTATCTATCTGTCTGTCTGTCTGTCTATCTATCTGTCTATCTATCTATCTGTCTGTCTGTCTGTCTGTCTGTCTATCTATCTGTCTGTCTGTCTATCTATCTATCTGTCTGTCTGTCTGTCTATCTATCTATCTGTCTGTCTGTCTGTCTGTCTGTCTATCTATCTGTCTGTCTGTCTATCTATCTATCTGTCTGTCGGTCTGTCTGTCTATCTGTCTGTCTGTCTGTCTATCTATCTGTCTGTCTATCTATCTATCTATCTATCTATCTATCTATCTATCTATCTATCTATCTATCTGTCTGTCTATCTATCTATCTGTCTGTCTATCTATCTATCTGTCTATCTGTCTGTCTGTCTGTCTGTCTATCTGTCTGTCTATCCATCTATCTATCTATCAGTCTATATCTATCTGTCTGTCTGTCTATCTATCTGTCCGTCCGTCCATCTGTCTATCTGTCTGTCTACAACGCGCGTAGACTCTGCTTATTACACACACAGGGATGCGTAGCAGCACACAAACTAACCAAATATTAAAAATAAAATGATTACTGTGTAAAATATTATTGTTGTGTACATAAAGATATGGTGAATCCGGCTTGTCCCGTCGATGGTCTGCTAGCGCTTTGACCTCAAGCTCGAACAGATCCGGTTCCGCTAGAGAAGCATTCAGTTTTTATGCTTGCAAATGTAAATAGCGAATCCACGAGCGCAACTGGCTTTTAAAGGGAATGAGAAATTACACTGAATTTTATGCCCAAAACACAGCCATTACTAGAGATAACCCTTTTAGACCATGCACTGTGTGCGCCAACCATTTTTTTTTGTCATTAAACTAGCGAAACTGGATTCGGACTCGCTCTTAAACAGGGCTCTGTGAATATTAAAGCACATATTTAATCCGAGCGAATGTTTTCCATGAAAAAAAAAAAAAATACAATATGAGGTTTGGTATGAGACAAGCATAAAATAATGCCAGAATGTTTTTTTTAGCCTCAACGCAGAAATTTTAAACAAGGAAAAGACAGTTCTTCATTCTCTGGGATGTATTGACCTTTTCCAGCGGAGCATCTGTGTGTTTCCAGCCCTCCTGCTTTGCAGCTGCAGATTGTGATTGTCCTGCTTCACATCTGAACCAAACCACCAGCCAAACACAGCAGGCGACCGCGTGTGACCGTCACGAGTGTGCTTCTACACCGCCGGTCGGCGCCTGGCCCTTCGATACACACATCTGAGAATGCCGACTACATCAGCAGAGCATGACGTGAGCCACATTATAAAACTCAAAGTTATGGTCTGTCAACTCTGACGAGCCACAATATCCAATATACTTTTGACTGCATATCTGTGGCTAAGGCTGCCTGGCAAGTGTAAACATACAACTGAACTATATTCCTTGAAAAATGCAATAAAGCACCAAGATGCCCAGCCAGCCTCAGCTTTGGTCAGTAAGTAACCTTGAACCTTAACCAATCAATGGCTGAATGAAGACAGACCCGGCACGGTGAATACGGCCACGGCTGCCAAACCGTAAATGCTTGTTGTGATGGAATGATTGGTTTGTCAGCATGAATTTGTACACTTTCTATGGGGAAAAAACTCTAGCTTTTAGCCAGAAGTATTATTTTCTAATAGTTTAAGTTCTAAAATAAGCACTAAAACAAAAGAAAATATGAAAATACAATATAATTAAAAATATTATAAACTTTGATAGTATATGATACTAAAATAAAACTGGTTTTAAAACTTGACATGATAACAGAGAGAGAAAGAGAGAGCGAGAGAGACTTACCTTAATGATAACTTCAGTGATTTTCCCCTCAGGTTCTTCACTGAGTGACAACTGACTCTGAAAGGACTGAGAGAGAAAAACATGAATATATGATCTTCCTTCAGAGAATTAATAAGATGAACTTTTCCCCTCAGATCCAATTATAATATCTGTAATCGTTTCTTAGACCTTTATCTAAATTAGGCAGCCATAATTTAGTTTTTCATGATCATTTTTCACACTTTTGTGGCCATTTTGCTACTGCACATGTACAACAGCTAACAGGGAACGTTCTGACAAGGTTCTCTCAAAGTTACAAACCAACGTTCTTCCAGTAACGTTAATAGAACATTCATTCAATAATGTTTAAAACATTAACATAAAAACATTATTTATACACGTTTTCTGAAATGTTTTAGTTGGACGTTCATTCATTTTTTTCGAATGTTTAGAAAACATTCAAATGTAACAATCCCATAATGTTTTCAAAATGGAATGTTCTCTAGCGTTCGGATAACCAAAATAAATAAATAAATAAATAAAAAAACTGGATGTTTTGACCCAATGGGGACGTTAGCAGAACTTGTTGAATACTTGATTCTGATTGGCTGGAAGGCCACACAGAAGCATTCAGGAGCACAGAAACTTGTTATAACTTTTACTAATTAAATAGCTTTGCTACTAAATCCCTAAATTATATTTCTCCACAATAAGGGGGTTAAACCGCTTGTTTTGAAGAAATTAAACTTGAACAGACGCAGGTAATTCACACATGCAACTTTAAAGGAGCTTTATGTAAGAAATTTATTTCAAATAATCATAAAATGGCCCTGATATGTCACTAGACATTAAGAAATCAAGTTATATCACTGACAACAGTAGTCCGGCCAGGATATTGTCAACTGTCATGTTGTGTTTTGGTCTGATGCTCCACCCTCCACCGATCTACCAATCACAAAGTCAGTGTTGCAGCATTCGGGTTGCCAGCTCTGCTCTAGTTACCGCAGCTGCAGATACAAACGTGTGGGATAAAAAAATGTTGGATCTGGCAACCTCGAGTCAAGGGGGAGGGGATACACCGCTCTACAGTAATTTGAAACTGATTGCAGTACCAATTTTGGCCACAATCTTACATACAGCTCCTTTAATTTCTCTTACTAATTAATTCAAATACATGCTTAATTAGTTTATTCAAATCAATGTAATCTTACCACACTACTACATATCTGTTGTGTCAGATTTAAAGAGGGCAGAATGCAAGTTCTAACTGACAAATATAACCGTTATTTTTATCCTTCCGGTCAAATATTTCCCTGCAAACAAGCGGGATAATCCACGGCTAGCTGTGCATTAAACCATACGCCTTATTCACGGCAGCGCCATCTTTGATTTTTAATGAGAATGAAAGCGAGGCTGTGAGGGATAGACTTGCATCTCTTCAATGGGCTGTACTGTTATTTAATGTGTTTTCGGATTGCTCATGAAACACTGGAAAAAGATCTTTCCAAGAAAGTTTAGTTGACAAAAACTCCCGACAATATAAGCTGTGGAAAATTGTAAGTAATCTAGCCGCTTTATTCAGCTTTTTACAGCGGATGCCATTGGAAACACGGTAAGTCTATCCCTCCCAGCCTCACTTTCATACCTGTCATGGCGCTGCTCTGAATAAGGTCTATTTGAATGCTTCTCATTGGGTGGTTCTTTTCCTCCATCATCATTTAATGCACAACTAGCCGTGGATTATCCCTTACGTAGATGTTTGAAGTTTGTTATGACCTCATGGACACTGATCTGAGAGGATATCACCTCTTTTCTGACGCTGTTGTTCTTCTCTGGGCTGATGCCGACATGCTCTCCGCTCTGACTGGCTTGTTTGGCTTGTGCGATGAGGACTTTGAGTTGCTGGACGTTGCTGAGCAGAGTGTTGGCCATCTCTTCCAGGTAAAGCCAGGTGCGCTGCTCGCCCGTCTCCAGCCCGTTCATCAGCGCCCCGGCCGGAGGGGGTTTAGCCTGAACCAGCGCCTGCTGAGGGACCACTGTCAGCGCAGGAAGGGTGGTCAACACTGAGGAGAAACACACATTTGAGCTGAACCTACGTGTCATGAGCGGTTAAAACGCTCCTCTGGGCCGGCTGGTTTTGTAGAGGTGAACCAGCGTTCTGACAGGTACGACCTTGACGGGTAACTTTACGGTCTGATCTCACTTTAACCCTGACCCAGATTTCATTTATAAGCTTGTTCTTCTAAAATAGGCCGGACATACAGTAGAGGACATCCTCTGTGTCCCGTCCCGGACTCGACCGGGACAAACCCATTTCAAGTTGACTTCACTTGATCTCTATAGCTTGTTTTCATGTGACGCAGATGGAGGGCAGGAAGTCATTTTCTATATTTAGGAAGCACTAACACACTCAAAATGCCTGTGTTTTGCGTCGTTTATGATTGCTCAAATCGATCAAACCACTAGGAGTTTTTATCATGTGCCAAAAGTTGTAGTTTATAAGGGTGGAAAATACAAGAAATTGACAGAAAAACACCGGGGAAAATGCCTTGCAAACCTACGTCTGCGGTCGGGAGGAGCCGAATGGGAAAATGCCTGTGTGTGTGTGTGCAGTGATCACTTCGTCAAATGTGAGTTAATCCATTATTTATGTGGTTTATAATTACATTATTCAGGTGTTGAAATACACTTATGTGGCTGTTCGTGTAACGTACCAGTTTCCAAACTTTGTAAAGTCAAAGTATGTCTGTAAGACGAGTTAGTTGCTGATATCTACAGCCTCGATGGCAGGCAAATCTCTCAATTCAGTTGAAAATCGGTCCTCTTCATAACGTAAGGATCACGTCCAACATATGTTTCGATTTTCTGTTTATATATTTCTCTTGTAATAGCGTGTAAAGTAGTACAGTACGGATTTTCCTCCATCTCGTCCATTGCGCTCAGTGGTGGAATGTAACGAAGTACAATCGTTACTTTACTTAAGTACATTTTTCACGTATCTTTACTTTACTTAAGTAGAATAAATAGTGCATACTTTTTACTTTTACTTCGTTACATTTTGCAGCAATTATTCTACTTTCTACTCCACTACATTTCTACAACTTCTGTTACATTTTCGTTACATTTTCTGATCAGTTTTTCCCCTGCCAAAACGTAATCTGACCGTCCGTTCGTTGCACGTTTGTCTCACCAGTGACGTTTGGTTGCCATAGATACAATATATCAACCCGGTCACACTAAATGCGTCTCGCACGCAGTGTGTTTATCATGCAACTCATACGCGAAAATTTGTTTTTACGTGCATAGGAAACACACCGTGTGTAATATATGTTTGGTTTGGTTAGGATTATGGCAAGCCAAGAGGTTCAGAATTACACCATAAATGAATCGCGTTTACTGCCAAACATAGTTATTAACATATAGTACTAAGGATAAGCATGATATTGCCTAATTGCAAGCTTGTTTCAGAAATGGTGACATTTTTTTCCATCATTATTGAACATCATTATAGGAGTAGGCTATTAGGTTGAATGAGTTAGAATTAAATGTTTTATTAATCATTAGAAAATAGACATTAAGATAATAAATTGTTATGCAAGTACTTTTACTTTTAATACTTAAAGTACATTTAAAATAAAGTACTTTTTACTTTTTACTTAAGTATGGTTGTCATTGTGTTACTTCTACTTTTACTAAAGTAAATATTTATCTGGGTATTTGTACTTGTACTTAAGTACTGAGATTCAGTACTTCCTCCACCACTTTGCGCTCTACACTCCTTGCCCTCCATCTGCGTTCCGCGCGTCAACACAATCACGTGACTGTAAACCACATATTGAATGCGGTGTTTTTTGAAACATACTCTAGGAATAATCAAACATCAGTCTGTGTGTTTTCACAAGTTCACACACACAAATAATTGGATAAAGTAAAAGACTTTGCATATTTGCTGTCCGGCAGGTTCTTGTGGTGATTACAGTATGTCAGCCAGGAAATCCAAACGTTCGCTTTCATCCGTCGACCTCAAATATGGCTTATCATTTGAAACATGTAAGCAACGTTACATGGCCACTCGCTCTAGCGTTAACCTAGATAAATGTGTGCTATTATTACACTGTGTCCTAACTACGCGCGACACGCGATAAAAGGTATCTTTTCCATGTTAATCAGATTTTTTGTCCTAATCAGACGCGACGGCGACACGCAAAGTTTCTAATTTAGAAACGGTTCCTATTTCTGCGACGTCGCGGCTGACAGAATGAAGAAATTACACTGGTTATGAGTACACATTATTTATTTTTAGGTAAAAATAGGTCACTGTGCCACAAGCGATAACGGATAATTTGCCTCAGATTTTGAAAGCATGTAATATAGCGTTCAAAATGAATTCTATGCAAACATACAACTGTACTTCATAACAAAATTAGTCAATGAGTAGGCTATATTCTGTTAATGTTTTGATTTTTAATAATGTTATTTCTTGATTTGATTATGTCCTCCTTACCCATTTCCAATGCGAGTGCGGGCCAGCAGTGCGCTTCACAGAGAGACTCCGCTCACACGCTGTTCTGATGTGTGGCGTCTCACAGTCGCGTCTAGTGTGGACAGACACACTTGCTGTCGCTGGAATTTTATCGCGTCGCGCGTAGTTAGGACACGGTGTTAGGCGCATATCCAAGTGTTTGTGCGGAGTGAGGAAACTAAAGAATCGCACACTTCATGAAATGGAGGCGCCGGTGCGATCACAATAGCGGGAAAAAAAAATTAAATTCTCCATCTTTTTTGGTCAAACAGACAAGTGTAAATATCACTAGAAGCGGTAAAGGGTTGTAAATGCTTTATGCTTTTTATTTTTGGCCTTTTTGTCACTTTTATCAAAAGGGACACTGGGACAGTGAGATAATGAAGGTGAAACTGGATCGTGAAATGACACAAACCCAAAGTTTCCTAAATCTTATCAATAAATGGTCATGATTTTACCAGTCAGACTCATTTGTGAAAAGGATTATGGTTTAAAAAAAAATCACTTTATAGAGTCTGCAAACCAGGGTTATTATAAACCTAAAACCATACTTTATTTTTTTACTTGAAATAACATAAATGTTAACTGAAATAAAATGTTTTCAAGACAATATTTTATGTACTGAAATATAACACAAAAATCAATAAAAAAAATTTAAACGACAAATTGAACTAAATTTAAAATTATATGAATAACTTGACCAATTGTTTGGTTCAAATAAATAATTTTGGGAAATAAAAAATGAAAATATATATATATATATATATATATTTTCACGATAGAATCATTCTTTTCTTGACTAAAGGAATCGTGCGAGGTGGGTTGGCACCACAGCTCAATGTGTCTGAGGTTGTTCACTAACCACTAGGTTACTCTACATCAACACTTTGTAGATGTGGGAATATTTATATCACACCAATTTCCAGTGGCAGAAATGGATTTTTCTGTAATATCACGGTCCAGGGCTGTGGACACACTTATTTTACGGTTATTTTCTTGTATCTGTCCGAGTGAGTCGAGGTCAGCATGCTTTCAAAGGAAAGTGCTGAAGCATTTCAAGTCTATTCCAGCACACAGAAGCTGAAAGAGATAAAAAAAAAAAAAAAAAAAGAAGGAAAGAAGGATCATTTCCTGAGACACTGATCACAGTGGTCCGTCAGTGACACTGAGCTGCTTTGAATTGGAGGTCACACTCCCTGGAGCGAAACAGCTACACTGGACGACTGCCCTCCACTTCAAAAATAACCCTTAGATGGAATTCAAACCATGATCCTTTCACTTGAAAAGAGAAAACGAGAATCTAAAGATGTTGACGGAGGGATGGAAAGCAAAAAATGAATTGTAAATATTTTTATGGGTCGTTCTGTGTCAACTTAACCAGAGAGCCCTTGGCTACTTTTTATCTGGGGAAATAATGAGGAAGAAAGCTAAAAAATTGAATAATCCACTATTTTGTGAGATTTGGAGACAAATTTCAGGGGTGCACAAATGACTTTAGAAAGATGGCAGCATCGTTATTCTATTTTTACACAAAGATTGGTAGATCTTTATGGTAGAACTTAAGCAATCTTTGTTATATGCCAACAGTGACAGATGGGAAAGAAGAACATCACGATGGTAATGGCTGAAATGGGAAAAAGCGTTGTGTTAGCATGTTTCCTTCTTCCGCGAGATGACTGATGCGCCAGCTGTTAATGGTTGCCTTGCACAGAGTTTATTTTGGAGGTGGTGAAATGAATGGAGGGTTGTGTTTGTTTGGGTGCCGATTTCAATGTTCAACAGTGTTTCTCAGAAATCACTTACTGCACCTTTAAAAAGATTTAAAAAGAAAACTTCACAGAATGAAATGGTCTTAAAGGGATACTCCACTTTTTTTTTTTTTGGAAATAGGCTCATTTTACCACTCCCCCAGAGTTAAACAGTTGGTTTTTACCAGTTTCGAATCCATTCAGCCGATTTTCTGATATTTAGAAGAATATCAGTAAACAGACAGTTTCTGGTCTCATAGACCTTATTCAGAGCAGCGCCATGACAGGTATGAAAGTGAGGCTGTGAGGGATAGACTTACCGTGTTTCCAATGGCATCCGCTGTAAAAAGCTGAATAAAGCGGCTAGATTACTTACAATTTTCCACAGCTTACATTGTCGGGAGTTTTTTGTCAACTGACATTTCTTTGAAAGATATTTTTCCAGTGTTTCATGAGCAGAACAATCTGAAAACACATTAAATAACAGTACAGCCCATTGAAGAGATGCAAGTATATCCCTCACAGCCTCGCTTTCATTCTCATTAAAAATCAAAGATGGCGCTGCCGTGAATAAGGCGCATTGACTTCCATAGTATATATTTTTTTCCTACTGTGGAAGTCAATAAGATTCAATGCTCTGAAGACATTATGAATGTAACAAAAGATTTGTGCGGCTGATGCTCCTTTGGTTATGAACAGCTTGTGCAAGCGTGCTCGTGTGTGTGGTCCACACCTCTGATTGCAGCTTCGCTTGTCACCAGAGGGGGCGTAGTTCTGCAAAAACTCAGAGACTTGCGCAATGCACCTTTAATCTAACATGCATTAACTTCAGCGCAGATAAAGATGAATTAAAATGCACAAATCTTGGTACAGACGATACTGTTCAAGCATGACCCATATCAGGACTGACCCGATGTATGAACCCCGTCCTACAAATGTGCCATTTAACAGAATTCACTCACTCCAACTGGACAGGTTTTCAAAAACGCGTAAAAACAAATCATTATCCGAGACTTACAATGGGGTCAAAACGGTCTCCATCTCGAATAAAGAGGCCTAAAAATAACAGGCTTTTTGTTTCCAGCTAAAAAAGGATCAGAAAGAGGCCACTCTTGGGTTTCAGAGTCTCAACCTCGGATCACACACGATCATAGTTGGCGGACCAGTCACTGACCCTCTCATGTAAACTACACACACAAGAGAAGAGCAAGTCACTCTGATTCTTTACTCAAGTGGAATCCAGTTATCCTTTTAAGAAAAAAAAAAAGTATTTGTTATATGAATTTTATTGCAAAATCTCCCGCTTTATTTTCTGCATCTGACTGAAATAACATATGCAATTAATTATATTTATATAAAAAAAAAATGTTTAGTTAGGTGCTGAAAATAATTATTTAATTATTTTTTTTTTAAATTTTGTACTAAAATAAAAAAAAGTGCGTATTCTAAAAAAAAAAAAAAATAATAATAATAATCTGCATACTGTGCACAGAACCCATACTGCATATTTTCATAATAGTAGTATGCAAGTATGTGGTTGTGGTTGTAAAAACACACTTTGACTGTAGTATTTACATTTACATGTATGCATAAGGAAGACACTTTTATCCAAAGCGACTAACATTGCATTTCAAGGTTCACATTTACATTCTTATGTAGGGATGCACGATATATCGGCCAGAATATCCATATTGGCCGATATATGTTCATTTTTTAATGTTATCGTTATCGGCCTGGTAAGAAAACGTGGCCGATATATTAAAGCCGATAAATAATGTATTATTCCCTTCAGCTGAGACACTTGTTGAGCACTGTTTATGTTTTTGAATTTCTTGAAATAGGATTGAAATCTCTTCAAAAAATGAAAATACGGTTCGGTACAACATGTGCAGCGCTTTTCTGTCATATCGGCTATACAACACTATAATGAGTACATCATTATAATTGTGCGCTTGGGACATGGATTTAATTGTGAGACTTTTGTTTTTTTAATCAGGCTCTAAAATTAGATATTTGGATTTGAGTTTATCGGCCGATATATCGGTTATCGGCTTTCAAATATAAAGAATTATCGGTTTTCGGTATCAGCCAAAATTTTCATATCGGTGCATCCCTATTCTTATGAAATCTTACATTCCCTGAGAACCGAACCCATGACCTTGGCGCTCTACAGTATTAGTGTGTCAGCAGCGCTCACCAGCAGGGCCTGAAATTAACACCCGACCACCTGCCAAATGCGGGTGAATTTTGCTATTGGCGGGTAACACTGTCAATCTACCTGCCACATTGGCGGGTAGCCAATGAGAATTGAGTGATTCATTAGGATTTTTACATTTCAACGAAGTCCGCTATTGCGGTGGACTTTAGCTAAAAGTGGCGGCACATTACTGGGGTAAAGAGGCCAGCTGAAACAAAACAAACAGCCAACAAAAAGATGAGGATGAGAAAAAGAAAAGTAAAGAAGACATTTTAATACAAAGTGAACAATCGGCGGCAATGGCAAGGTTCGTGAGCGGCTGATTTATGACAGCGACTGTTGTTTCGTAACGTTCATGCGATCAGAAAGAAGATGAGGCTCTTTTTCTGACTACGTGTGCGAGTATTAAACTGTTGATGAGATGGGATGAGATAATGTAACGCGCCGCTGTTGTAGGTTACAGTACAATGACAGTTGCACAGATGTGTGTGCGTGTGCAACTGTGCATGTTGGGAGTTGGGAACCGGTGAGAAAATGTCCGGTACCCGGTAATTTTATCAGTAATAACAGTATCAATTTAGTTCATATTTAACCGTTCCTGAACGCTGTAACTAAAAGCTGTTGAGAGTAAGACCTGTACGTGACTAAATCCGCCATCAACACAGCCGCGTGTGATTTGTTTACGAGCTGCGGTAGGTCTATCTGTTGAGTATATACTATATATGTTGTGTGTGTGTGTGTGTGTCTGTCAAAATCAATGAATACAATTTTTTTTTTTTATGTATGTTATTAGAGTTATTATTACTTGACAGCACTAAAATGTGTGTTCTTACAAGTTAAAGAACAATATTGTGAAATTCCCGGGGTTTTTTTTTTTTTACGTTTATGAGGCAAAAAAAAAAAAAAAATGGCTGGTAAAAAGTCTCTGTGGCGGGTGAATTTTTAAATCCACCTGCCACAGTGGCCGGTGGCCGAAAAAATTAACTTCAGGCCCTGCTCACCAGTTGTGTTGGTGAAGACGTCAGCGGGCGCAGGGCTGTCGGAGAGGATGGCTGCCGTCTCTCCTGATGCCGTTCGGTCAAAGGTCAGCGTGCCTGAAGTGGTGATCTGTCCTGATGGAGTCACTGTAACTGAGAGCAGACAGACAGTCGTGAGCCACTTCCTGAGTCTCCCGGGAGAATTTCTCCCTTTCCTGATCTTTAGGAGGGACGTCAGATGGTTTAGTACCAGAAAACTCAATGGAAAAACACCTGAGAGTAATAACCACCAATATTCTCTCTTTGGAAACGGGAACTGATAATAAGAAATTCATTTAAATTTTATACAATACTGATATGGTCTCAAACCAACTGAAACTGATCAGGACAAATTATTTTCTGCATCTGACTGAAATAATATATGCAATTAATTATATGGGCCAATTTCAGTCAGATACAAAAAAAAAGAATACAATTTGATTTTGAATTTTATTTATTAATTTATTATATATTTGTGTAATATATACAGTTTAAATATATACAGTATATATATATATATATATATATTATTTTAAAGCTTAAAAATTATTATATTTAACCCCTGCTAAGTCAATTTTTTAAAGATCAAGAATTTAAAGTTGTTTATATGGTGTTTTTAATATACCTTAAGACGAACCATGTGCAAACTCACATCATTGCTGAGCATTTTCTCTTTAAAACTGTTCTCTAGATCACAAACGACCTTGTATCACGTCAAAGTGTGGACGGCCTTTAGCATAGCATTAACCATAACAGTGAAGCAGGGGAGTATTTTACGATGTTATGATGAACTACACGCCTTTCTCCACTGACGTTCTGAGTTGATAGAAGGCAGACTGAGATGGGGAAACGTGAACATGGTTTATATAACATTAACATCACATTATTGGCTGTTTGATAACATGGTCAAGCAATAGGCTAATAACCTTAAAGGAGTAGTTCACTTTTAAAACAACTTTTGCTGATAATTTACTCACCCATGTCATCCAAGATATCCATGTCTTTCTTTCTTCAGTCGAAAAGAAATTAAGGTTTTTGATGAAAACATTCCAGGATTTTCAGAACTACTCCTTTAATTACCGTTATGTCACGTGTCCGATATTGTAATGAGCGAAACAAACCATTCTGATACATCGACTTGTAAACAAACCTGTATAATTCACTCTTCCACTTCTTCTCCTGAATCAATTTCTGGTTCAATTACACGTGGCTGAATTAAACCAGCATTTCCATGAGCTGGCGTGAGTGAGTGGAGGCGGGGCTAATTTGCATATTCATTGATCCGCGTATACTTGTGTTCAAGTTAAAGGCATGAAGTTTTTTTTTTTCACAGGAAAAAGGTTTAAATATGTCATTTTGGTGATCAAAGATGAGTTTTAATGGATAATATGATTGACTACAGGGGGATTGTGGACCCGAGATGGATGTTAATATTGTGTATAAGTGAACAGGAACGGGAACGAGGCTCTTACATGTTGCTCCTGGAGCAAGGGTGATGTTCTTTGTAGACTGCACTTCCTTCTTCTCAGGAGAAGCCGACCGCTCGTTGTCCTTCTTCCTTCTTTTATACGGGACGAAGAGCCTGACGGGGCCCGTCTGCAGAGCACCAGAACACGGCATGAGTCTCGAGAGCGATATAACATCACAACTGAGATTTCAGACCTTACTAATTACCATCGTGATGTTCTCCCCTCCGAACGGCCCGTCTTTGGCACACTGGAGGACGACAGGCAAATGAACAATAGATTTGAGTTATATAGGATATAAAAGAAATAAGCAACACTTTTGAATTTAAGATCGTCAAAAAAAATAACATAAATTGCTTAAAAAAGAAAGAGAAGACTTCAAATGCAATATCTATGTGCTGTTTTTTCATATTATATATATACATACAGTATATCTATATTCTATATATATATATCTAATATATATATATATATATATATATATACTTTGTATATATAGAATCATCTTTATTATACAATTTAAATATATACAGTATATATATTATATATATACATATTTATATATATAAACATATATAAATGTTTACATATAAAACTACTATTATATAAATATTATTAATATTACATAATAATAACACATAAAATCTAATAAAGATTATGATATTGAGTCACTCACTGTAGACAGATCATATCATTTATTAGTATTACATTTTAAATATTATTTAAAAAAATAATGCTTTTTTATAATATATATATATATTTCTTGTTTAAATAAATAGCTTTATACATTCTGTATATTATCATTATTAATATTATTTGATGTTATAATACTAGTTTATATATATAATTCATAACATTTATATAGCACTCTTCGTTTCTTAGTATTTAAACACAACCATAAAAAAAGTATTTTATTTCAGTTGTCATTTAAAAAACTAAAATCTTTTTCCTCATTAGACACAGTGTATGATAACCCAGGTCAGCAGTGTGTTAAAGATTTATGAGATTGAGTCACCATGTCACTCACTGAAGACAGATCATCACAGCAGGCCGCACACGTACAGGACGCTGCATGAGGGTTCAGGATGCGCTCCTGTCAAAACACACACACACACACACACCAGTCAGACTGTTCTGCTGAACGAAACACAGGAGGGATTTTTTGGAAAGAGTACATACTGTGAGCTGTGTGTGTGTGTGTGTGTGTGTCTCCAAAGGCCGGTCTGACCTGAATGAGACACTGTAGAGGTCGGCCAGCGTAGCGGATGCTTCTCTTCCAGTCTTTGCTGCTCGCTCGACCCGACATACTCTCAAACTCCGTCGGGGTGAACCAGTTATTATTGTGTCTGATACAGCGACCTTTGCCCCCTGCCATCACAGGTTAAAGGTCAGTCATGTTAAAACATTTTGGCTTCATTCCAGCTCTTATATCATTCATCCTAAATTGTAATTAGTGTGTATTAAATCATGGAACATAGATTTAAGTTTAGAGGATTCCTAAAGTTTGCATCATTTTTTGGGGATTATCACCCATAACCCCTTGTGCTAAAAAAAAGTTTCTCATTTGACTCTTTGAGCTGAATTCACAAATGAATTCCCTGGCTATGTCCTAAATCGCCCCCTATACCCCTAAATATGGCACTATTTGATGGATCAGCCAGTTGTAGTGGTGTCTGAAACAGTAGCGGACGTTCTCTAGCGCACTCATTCAATCCCATAATGCAACCGATGTACGCTCGACGGCTAGAGAATACCCATAATGCACTGTGATGGTCATGCTGAATGAATTCCTGTGTCTGACCAGAAGATGAATCATCCATCCATCCATTTTCCAAACCACTGGTCCAATGTGGGTACAGCGTAACATCATAAAAGTATAAATTCCTTCTTAATTGATTATTAAATTGTTTAATTAAGGTTTATACACCCTGAAGAGAACGTTCAAGATTAATCTTTTCATTACTACTGGAGCTGCCAGTTTGCTAAACCTCAAATTGATTATTAAACAGCAGAAACTATGCAAAAGCGGCAGCCCTTCCGACACACTCAGTGTCTGAATTCACACATTCGTTTTCAATCACTTCCTCAAGTGGACTATTATTAGTGGAGTAGTGCAGGGAATAGTGAACGAGTGTATAGGGGATGATTTCGGACACAGCCCCTGAATAAGCTCTACAGACACACATCTGTATATGTGTGTGACGCCCTCGTGTGGCGTACCTGATCCCAGTCTGTTTTTGTACAGAATCCCACTGGTGTTCCTGCAGCGCACAGGAAGCTCGTTGTCGTAAACCGACGGATCCCAGTTGTACTTCGAGCCGTCTTTATCGTGTCCAGATGTCAGAGGGGTGTTCGGGGTCTGGGGACCTGAACGGAAAAACAGACACAACTTTTATACACACAGTTTAACATTTACAATTTAGTTCCTAAAACCGAAACGTACCTGGTGTCATTGGTGTCGCGGTGCCTTTCAGCCCTGTGGCGTCGACGATGCTCCCATCCGTGTGCACCACGATCAGTGTGGCCTTCTGGGTACTCAGACTGTCTCCAATCTGAAGCGTGGTTCTGCCTGTCTGCATGAATCCGTGGAGAAATATTACATTTGATGTTATTATTTTGATTCAAAACAAATCTGTTCTGACGTTTACTTCACAGATTAACTAAAAATCTATGTACTATGGTATTAGCATGATTTTTTTTAGGATATGTAATATGGTTTTATCATATATGATGAATATAGGAATCATATAGTACCACAGTTTGGTTTATCTGAAGAGGTTCAATATAGGTTAAAAACACAATAAATATATAAATATCACTAAATACCTTTTTTTACATTTAGTTGTTGGCGGAAATTATCATAAAATCAACCATGCTTGGACGTCTAAGATGGTTTCATTGTGGTTTATGAATATGCTAATCATACAGCACAGTTTTTTTAAAAAAAGAAAAATGTCAAATAGTATTTTATAGCAGAAGAGAACTACAAAAATATGGTTAAATGCATCGTTTTTATGTTTACTTGGCATATAAATATAGTAATTACACAGTACTGTGGGTTGGTTTATTTGAAGAGCAAACTTATTTTAAGAAAAAAAAAACTTAAAAATGCATGTATTTTCAGATGTTTTCAAAATTATTAAATACCTATTTCTTTCTTTATTTTATTTTCAATTTTATTTTAAATCATTATAGAGATAAACATACATGCATAACTACCAAAAAAAAAAAAAAAAAAAAAAAGGTGTAGGCTGAAGGCTATGCTTATTAACTGACTAGCGGCGCAAAGAGAAGGAAGTGAATAGTTGAAATAAAGTCGTTATTTATGTTTGTTTTTGCGCACAAAAAGTGTTCTAGACGTTAAAGTTACGATTGAGCCACTGTAGTCACTTGCACTATTTTAACGATGTCTTTAATAACTTTTCAAGGCTGGCAAGTTTCAATTCCTCAAGAAGTCTATGGACTAGTATGGAGGAGTGATCCAGCTCTCAGATTTCATCAAAAATATCTTAATTCGTGTTCCGAAGATGAACGAAGGTCTTACAGGGTTGGAACAACATGCGGGTGAGTAAATACTGACAGAATTTTCATTTTTGAAATTCAATTCAATGAAATTGTAGGCCACGATTAAACGACAACGACGTACTAAAATCGTTTGTGTTTTTGTTTGTGTTTTCAGGCCTCTAAAATGCCACTGTCATGTAAAATGAATGACCAAAAATCATGAAAGGTTTTCCCTTTCAGTTGACCACGATGTCTTGTAAACGGCCTCTTAGGGCCTGAAAACGCAAACTTTTGAGAAGTATACCGTTATCATCTCCATGTAAACAAACAAAAAAAGAACAACCCTGAATTTGTGAAAACAGTGACGTTATGCACATGCGTATTTGTGCTTCTTTACAAAGTGACATCGCCACCTTCTGGCCTGACATGAATAATACAGCGGTTTTAGTCGTTTTCGTGGATCTGAGGATTAGTTTAGACTAAGCATTCGTCTGTACGCGAAAAACACAGAGGAAAAACTGTTCTGTTTTCAGTGCATCTTCGTCATGTAAATGTCCTCTGAGAGGAGACTCTTACGAGCATGTGTTCAGGGATGGACGCTGCTGTGGAGACTGTGGATGTGTAAACGGTTTCGTCTGAACTCTGAACGTCCCCAACAGTGACGGCTGTGACCTCTGCAGAAAAAACAGAAACTTTATATGAGTTTAGGTATGACAATGCTGAACCACATTCTACACACTACACTAAAGTTCAGAATTAGGATTTTTAAATATTTCTCTAAAGGACGCTTCTTTTAATCATTAAGGCTGCATTTATTTGATCACTAATACAGTAAAAACAGTGAAATATTATTACAATATAAAATAACTGTTTTTTAACTGTTTGAATGTAGAAAAATATAATTTATTCCTGTGATCATTATTATTACGCCAGTCTTCAGTGTCACAGTGTAATTTGATGATTTGCTTACTATTGGTACTTATTACTAAAAAAACTATTAATAATGGTCCATTATGATCAATGTTGAAAACAGTTTTTGCTGCTTAATATTTTTGTTGGAAACCATGATACAGAAAGTTGAAAAGAACAGCATTTATTTGAAATAGAAATATTTTGTAACATTACAAATGTCTTCTTTACTGTCATTTATTTTTCCTTGCTCCAGTCCTTGCTGAATTAAGCCATTTCTTGTGATTTCATGTGACACTGAAGACAGGAGTAACACCAAAGGACTAAATTACATTTTAAAATAAAATATTTCACAATATTACAGTTTTTAATGTATTTTTGATCAAATAAATGTAGCCTCGGTGAGCAGAAGATTTTTCCTTAATAACTTTTTTTTTTTTTTACTGGTAATTATTTAATCAGTAAATTATATTTCGTATAAAGAAAATTAAGTCTGTATTAAGGTTCTCAGTAACAATCCATATTCATAATGGTGAACAAAAATTGCACAACTACCATGGTGTATGATTGAATACTTTATAGTTTAATTAAAACTAGTCTTAGTAACAAGTCTTATGCTAATCATCAGAGAATAAATGTCATTAAATGCATGGTGGGTGGGTTAAAAAAAAAACGTATAATGGGTGCACTCAAATCTTTGGATTTTCATTGTAATCGATAATTAGCTGATGCGCATGCGCACACTGACCCGCAAAAGCCGCTTCGGCATCGTCTGGGTTCGGCAGTGATTCGTCGATGTCGATGTTCCCCGCTTCTGCCATCACAGTCATCGTGGCGACTTCGCCCTCCGATTCGGTATCCGAACCCACAGCCTCTCCCGCAGACGCGCTGTCGGACGCGTCGCGCAACGCGAGCTTCGCCGCCGGTTCATTCGCGTCCATTTCAAAACAACGGCACACGAAGGCAGCCGAAATTATCCGAAGGATTGTCGAGAGGCGCACGACCCTCGCGATTTGTAAATGCTCAAGTATCCAAGAAGCACTCAGTCAACTTGTACGAATAGATTATTGATTAATTTAAACGATTTATCTTCGGGTATAAAAGAAAAGGAAATGGTTGCAGGATAATGGCTTCCGAGTGCCTTTACTGGGGACGGGGATCAACACAGGAAGGAGAGTAAGCGGAAATTACCGAATCAAAACGGAAATTACCGAAAGAACACGACGTAGCACGAAACGACCATTGACAACAACGTGATTTGCAGTGACACAAATGTAGTTCTTAAATTTGCTCCAAGTTTTCTGTATTTAAAAACAATGATTTGAAAATGTTATTTAAAATCCTTAAAACCTTTGAAAAAAGATTTCCTTAATTTCTAAATTACAATATCATATATGCTGTTGCTGTTGTGTTATTTCAAGAGATACATACAAAAAACTTCAAATGCTGTGCCCAGAAGTACAAAAAATATAGTAAAATCAATCATTTTAATATGTATAATAACAAATTAATCAGTATATTACTGAATATATTACCTTATATTATATTATATATTATCTTTTTTTTTGTTGCTATTTTTTATTATAAAAATGTTTGGTGGAAATCACCCAAATAAAACTACAAACTATGAGATTGCACTTGTCAACAAAGCAAAGGAAGAAAAAAAAAGACAAACCATATCAACAATTTTATTGTAAACAGATTTGTCAGTATTTCCAGAGTATTGTGATTCATGTAACAATATTAATATACTTCAAATATTTGGCATTATCACACAAGGTTAGTAAAGTAAAATGTGGTATTTTTTGAATATAGGCCTACCATACAAGTGTACAAGAGCCATTCCACCGCCACCGAAAGGGTGACATTTCTCTCCCCAGGACATTATATGTATAAAATTGCATGAAAATGAACTATAAAATTTTGCCATTTTTTGGCATTTTATTATTAATCAAAATGTCATGCACATTAAGCTAACAAAAAATATAAAACATATAATTCAAATCCCTCAGAAATCTGAAAAAAAAAATACATTTGATCTAATATTTTAGAGAAAATACACATTTTAGTCATGACCCTGGGTTTTCACTCAGTCCTGTTACACTATTTTAAAAAAAAGTAGATTATTCCACAAGACACATTTTAAACAGGAAGTTGCAACATCTGGATCTTCTGAAGGCAATGGGGTGACCATCTCATTTTCATTTCTGTATATCTGATGAAATTGTAACCATGAATGAATTGTAACCACAATCTCAACATACGGTCCTGTTACCTAAACTTTTTCTTAGATTTAATTTTTTTTTATTTTAAAAATATTACCTTTTGGTAAGGCACTAGAAATGGTTCAGTGTCCTCACGCTATTAGCATCAATGCTATGTGGCCATATGCCATATATTTGATCACTTTTTGCTTAAAAAACTCTATCCTGTTACTTTCAGTCCTGTTACTATTTTTTTTTTCTAAAAAAAATAAAATGAAACCACTATATTTTATCAGTTTTTTTGGCCCATAATTTATACAATTATTTAATGAATTAATTCTAAAAAGTTCTTTAAAATGAAATAGTGACAATCACTTTAATAGTGATTTTATAATCAACAATTTATTTAAAATAAACACTTTCTTGTGGGAAAAAACAAAGGAATTAATCGACTTGCTTTTTAAATGACATAATTTTCGGTAGGATTGAGAAAACATGCGTCCATCTTCTGCTTAAACCTTGTAAAAAAATTAATAAAGTTGCCTGAGATTGACCAATAGACATTCTGAATAGTTAAATATGTGTAGTATTAGATTCAATCTTGAAAAAGGTCAAAAATAAAGTTTATTTTTGAAGAGTTACAACAAGCAAATGTCACACAAATGGCCCACAAATGTTTTATTCATGTTTTGGTATGAAAACCTTTTTATAATCCAAACACCATCAGACAACCGTTTGCGACATGGATCATCCGACCGGCCAGCAGTAAAAACCGGGATTCACTTTACGGATCTGACCGGGCTGCCGTGGAAACGTCACTGTTTCTCCTGTGGAAAAGTCAATAACACATTTAATTTAATTTAAATAGCAAACACCATTCATCATATATTGTTGGTCCGTTTACTTCGGTTTGTTTATTACCTGGAATAAGTGGGATTGCAGTTCCAGTATTCAGGACCAGTTCAAGAGCGAACGGCTCCTTATTCCCAGACTTCCTCACTGAAACACTCACCTCCGCACTCTTTACCAACCAATCCATCTTGTTGCCGAGATAACTCACACCTCTCACGCGGAGAGCATCGATGCCCGGTGGGAGCAGCGGAGCAAAGGCAAGATGCTCCTTCTGCACTCTGTGTGACACAGGACAGGGACACACAGATCAGCACAGATGTGTCATCTCTCTCTCGTCCAGCTCGTAGTGATCTTGTCACCTGAAGCCAGTGTAGCCAAACAGCAGCGCCTGCAGGAAGCCGCCCATCCCGGTGAGGAAGTTCACACACCCAGAGCCATCCGCCGACTCGCTCCACACCTGCACACACACACACAGACTCACTGTACAGTACTCGAGGACTGCTTCAGCTTCTATACTGTGTAAAGTATCCTGCCTGTTATTATTATTTTTATCTTTACGTGTTGTCACATAAACTCATATATAGCATATTTAATTCTGTAATCATGCTTGTTTCTGCCACAGAATAAAAAAAACTAAAAAGGTAATTGTATGAAAACAGTTTGTATTGTGCGATCAAAAAGTTTTTATTTTTGTTATTCTGTGGCAGAAACAAGCATCTCTCAAAAATAAATACATTTAATGTGCCGTTTTGATTTCCTTTGTGTAAAATGTTTTTTTTAAAATGTAATCAAGTAGTGTGTGGGATTTTATAGTTTATATTTTATTTTAATGTAACGCAGAATGATTTGGATGTGCGAGGGAGGCACTATATTTTTTTCATTGAAATTAAGTAAATTTAACATCAATTATTTTAATTGAATGATTTTTTTTCCAGAAATATTGTGGAATATTATTACAATTTAAAATAACTTCATTTAAATGTAATCAAGGAGTGTGTTGGATTTTATAGTTTATATTTTATTTTAATGTAACGCAGAAGGATTTGGATGTGCGAGGCACTATACGTATATTTAGCAAATAAATTTAACATCAATTATTTTAATTTAATGTATTTTCTTTCAGAAATATTGTGGAATATTATTACGATTTAAAACAACTTTTTTCTATTTGAATATATTATAAAATAGAATTTATTCCTGTGATCAAAGCTGTATTTTCAGCATCATTACTCCAGTCTTCAATGTCACATGATCCTTCAGAAATCACTCTAATGATGATTTGCTGCTCAAGAAACATTTCTGATTATTTTCAGTGTTGAAAACCGTTGGGCTACTTCATATTTTGTGGAATTGTGACACTACCAATCAAGTAATTCATTTAAATTTGTAGAAATCTTGTTTGAAAAAAAAAGGAAGGTTAAGTTTCCATAAAATGTGCTCTGCTTGCATACTTAAAGGGATACTCCACCATTTTTTTTATATTAAAGTATGTTATTGAGTTGATACATACCTCTGTCATCTCAGCACTTAACTAGCTCAGTTCATTCAATATGGGCCAAGTTGCGTTTTTCTAAGAGTGTAAAATGGATAACTATATTGTATGGCGAAATACCACAGCAACTTTGACTCGGCGCAGTAATATCTTCACTCTGGAGGGGGAGAGGACTTTTCACGAGTGATGATATTACTACGCCGAGTCGAAGTGCTCCCAAGCACTCGCTGTGGTATTCCGCCATACATTATAGTTATTCACTTTACACGCTTAGAAAAGCGTGACGTTTTATTTTGTGTCACCGTCCTGGGTCGAGTTACTCTACTCGTGTAACTGTATTTAAATAGGGAAAACGTGGAGGTGTTTGGTTGCTTCCCTGTTTGGCCCATATTGAATGAACTGGGCTAGTTAAGTGCGATCAAAGTGTCTCGCGCGCCAGAGCGATTGAGCGCACGCACCGAGACGACAGAGGTAAGTATCAACTCGTCTTAGTTAAGGGAATAACATAGTTTAATATGAAAAAAAAAAACGGTGGAGTATCCCTTTAATTCAGAAGAAAAATGCATAGCATACATATTGCATGCGTGAGACGTGCTGGCCTCTGCAGAGAGATAGACGTCCCGTACCTGAAAGGGTTTCTGGATATTTTTGAAGCATTTCTGCAGAAGCTTTTGGGCTTTTTCAGCCTCTCCAAGTTCAAGCCAACCTAAAGCAAACATGCCCTACAAACAGACACAGACACACACACATATTTACACAAATATACTGAGCAAAAACCCCAGATAATCATAGGCTTTATGTCAAAGGTCACATGAACAAACAGGAAAACAATCTGATTGCATCCGCTTGTGTCATTGATGAACGAACGTCTATGGGTTCGGAAAGACATGAGGGTGACTAGATAATGACAGAATTGACATTTTTGTGTGAGCTATCAGCAAACCTAGCTTTTTGGGTAAAATATGGACAAACCCAGCCATTGGGTTAAAAATGTAATTTAAAAATGTACCCCAATGGCTGGGTTTGTCCATATTTTACCCACAATTGGGTTAAAACAACCCAGCATTTTTTAGAGTGTAGTTATGTTATTATGGGGATTTTATTCGATTTAAACATCTAAATGATAGTGAGAAAACCAAAAATAAAATCTTTGCTCGCTCCTTTGAAGGAGTGAAACGGTTCTATATTTAACGAAGCACATACAAAAGACCAGAAGCGACGCAGCCGCTTTTACAGAATAACCCACACAAAGCATGATGGGTAAAGCACAGCGTGTGACTTACCCATGTCATGGCCGGCCCGAGTGGATCTGTGACGGCCTCGTATGCGTCCAGATCGTTGCGTCTGACCTCGGGGGTCATGGGGAGGGTCAGCGGGTATCCCAGCAACACCACGTCCGCCTGCTTGACTCGACTTCCTGTGGAAAATGTCAAATGTAAACTTTTGCAAGAAATGGTGTTACATGTATAGTGCTGCAGTGATGATGTATATTGTGAAATCACATAATGTTGGATTACTGCAGAAAATAAGCTCTGTGCGCAACAAAAGTTGTTGATTCTTACACGTTTTGTTGATTGTGATCATATTCACATATTTATGAATTTCGAAGCCTATATACAATCAGCAGAACAAAAAAGCTAAAGTTAAACGATTAGTTCATTTTTTAAAAAACTTTTGCTGATAATTTACTCACCCCCATGTCATCCAAGATGTCCATGTCTTTCTTTCCTCAGTCGAAAAGAAATTTAGGTTTTTGATGAAAACATTCCAGGATTTTTCTCCATATAATGGACTTCAATGGGAACCGGATGGTTTAAGGTCCAAACGACAGTTAATAACAGTTTCAGATGCAGCTTCAAATGTCTTTAAACGATATCAGACGATGAATAAGGGTCTTATCATGCGAAACGATCGGTTATTTCAAAACTTATTCCAAAAATGTAACTTTTCTAAGGACAAATGCTAGCCTTTCTCTATTCTGTGAGGCGCGTTTGCAACGTCACATATTACGTAATAACGTTCAAAAGGTCACGGGCGACGTAGCCGAAAGTACAGAGTCAGTGTTTACAAGTTGAACGCATAGGTTGAACGTGCAAACTAGCTCAAACACCGTTTACAAAAAAAGGAATTAAAAGGAAAAACAACGATGTCGGACGATTTTGATTCTGTACTTCCGGACAGAATTTTTTTTTATTCTAACACAGGATGTTAAAAAATGAACTACTTTGTGAGGTGTCCTCCTTGTTGAGAAAGGTGAATCTGGCGTATGATTATGATGATTACTACAACATGGACATGATGCTGATGAGGGCATCTTACCCTGCGTGTAGCCGTCAAACTCTGGGTGATACTTCAGTTCTGGGTCAAAGGGAATCTTGATCTTATCAGCAACGTCCTGCCACGCGGGAGGAGGCGTCCGCGCTAACAGGACACACAACTCCACGGCAAACCGAAGACTACACAACACAGAGAACCAATGAAAAATATCTTAAATCTGCTCATTCTGAAAAATACCCTCCATATTCAGTGAAAGTCTGAGGGATTTGTTGGTTGTTTTATCGTACACTGGCTGAAAATCGTAAGTTTGATAGGAAAGTAACAGCTCATCTATCACACGATTCGGGTTGGGGTTTATTCGAGTGTTTTATTATATAGAGTGATTATGTACACACACACCTGCTTTGGGCGACAGCATTGGTGAACACTGAGTTGTCAACAGTAAAGTAATATTCATCAGGAGGAATCACACCTAATGTACAAACAAAACAAAACCCCATAAAGAAGCTTTCATAACCATATCAAAACAAGACTTGAGCTGCCACTGGTTCTAATGTCTCATTTCACTTTGTTCATATTTATTCATTAATTAATTCGTATTCATTTTATGCATTATATTAAAGTATAATAAACAATAGGGCTGTGAAACGATTAATCGCGATTAATCGCATTCCAAAATAAAAGATTGTGTTTACATAATATATGTGTGTGTGTAACGTACGGACAGAGACGGTCGGATCCATGTGCAGCACTTTATTAAAACAGGCAGACATGAAAACAGGCAAACACTTAAACAAAGGGGCAATCCGGAAACTCGTGGTCTAAACAGGCAATGGTCGAGGCAGGCAGCACAGGTTCGAGAGCAGTCCAGGAAACAGGCAAGGGTCAAGAGTCCAGGGAAACACGGAGACACAGAACAGGGAATAACGCTCGGAATTGTACGCTTACAGGTAAACAAGACTTCGCAAGGGACACAGGGAAAACTCAGGCTAAATAAGGAAACTCAATAACCATAATGAAACACAGCTGAACATAATGAAACACAAAGAGTCCATGGAAAACAAACAGGAGAGGTGCCCTCTAGTGGCTCTCGAGGCACCCACGGCTGCTGATCGTCACATAACCCCCCTCTAAGGAGCGGCTTCCAGACGCTCCTAAGAGCTCCGGGGGAGGTCAACGGGGCTGGGATGGAGGGCCAGCCCATGGAGAGGCGAGGCCAGGCACATGGAGAGGCCTGGGCCGTGGAGCGTGGGTGACCAGGAAGGAGCAGGACGTGATGGCGGCCAGGGCGGAGCAGACACAGGCGAGGTCCATGACAGCCTCGCCTCCATGGCCTCACGG